CTATAGGTCTCACTGAGGATTTCTTGATATTCCAGTGGTACAAGAATGACATATATTCAGTAGAATCCAGACATCAAATTTTGACTTTGGGGCCTGCCAGATAGCTCAGCAGATTAAAGTGCCTTCTTAGGCAGATGCAGGGGCCAGGGTTCAATCCCCCAGCATGCCATGTTAGCCCCGTCCCCAGGACATGCTGAAATGGCACTTGAGACTGGGCGTGGTGGTATGCACCTGTAATCCCAGCACTTGCGGGGCTGAAAAGATCACTATGAGTCCGATCTACATAGTGAGACCCTGAAGATCCTGTACTAAATAATTTTTTTTTAAATTGACTTTGGATCTTTCTCCAGGTTAGCAATCTGTGGCACTAATTGGGGCCAAGCAGTGGCCACATGATTGCAGGGCTCTACAGTATACCGAGATATCAAGCTAATTATTCCGTGGGTACAGTTTACTAAAAGCAGTCTTGAATTATCATATTTTCCATTTACAGTGGGTTTATAGGAACCTACTCCCATCATAAACCCAGGAGCATCCGATAGAGACAACTGTCATGACCCAGTCCCTCCACCCGTATATTGAAGCCTTACTCCCCAATGTGACTGTATTTAGAGCTGGTGCTTTTCAGGAGTAATTAAGGTTAAGTCAGAAGAACAAAGCCCAATCCAGTGAGGCTCATGCATTTATAAGAAAATAAAGCCTGGCAAGCGCAAGGTATTGAGTTCAATCCCCAGTCCAAAAAAAAAAGAAAAGAAAATGGAGGACACAGGGTAAGGGACACAAAGAAAGGCACCTGAGGACACAGTGAGAAGGTGGCCAAAGGCTGGGGAGATAGCTCAGTGGCATAAGAGCCTGCCTGTCAAGAGCAAAGTCATGAGCTCGATTCCTGGTACCAAAAAAAAAGATGGGAGAGGTGGCCAGCAGCCAGCCATGGAGAGAGACCTCAGAAGAAACCAACCCTCCACTTGATCTTGGATGTGCAGCCTCCAGGACTGGGGGCAAATTAACTTCTGTTGTGCAGCACACAGTCTGTTATCCCAGTAGGGCAGCCCTCGCAACTATTGCAGCAGTATGCATGTGAAGAAATGTCGACATAGGAAGACCAAGAATGTGAATGTTAGTCACGATGAGAGATACCCCTTCTACCTTCAAAGGATTATTACTCCAGGAATTGTCCTCCTAACTTCATATGTTTGCATCAATTTGTGGTGTCGTCATACAATTTTTAAATGGTACCTAAATATCATCATGCCATGCAAATGTCTTGTTGACATTACTGTTGTTTCTAATTAGGGCACATACAAAGTAGAGGACAGGGGCTGGGGAGATAGCGCAGTAGAATAAGCACTTGCCTGGCACGTGCAAGGGCCTGAGTTCAATCCCCAGTTCCGACAAAAAAAAAAAAAGGAGAGGACAAGATAGTTTTGGGGGGCTTTTGGAGACAGGGTCTTGCTATGTAGTCCAGGCTATATTTGAACTATGTAGTGGCTTTGAACTCACAGCAATCCTCCTGCCTCACTGTCCCAAGGGATGGTACTACAGGTGTATACCACCATGCCAGGATGAGATAGTTTTTAAATAGAAATATGCAAGTACATATTATTTAAGATGTACTATATTAGATTCATAAGAAGTCCCTTTAATCCTTAGCAAGGTCTCTAAAGAGCAGAAACAATACATAGTGAGGAAGTAGGGGTATTTACATTTAACCTTGGGTTTTTTGTGGTTTTTTTGTTTGTTTGTTTTGTTTTTTTGGCGGAACTAGGGATTGAATTCAGGCTCTTGCGCTTGCCAGGAAAGTGCTTTTTCCACTGAGCCATCTCCCCGGCCCTAAGATGTTTGTGAAAGTTCTTTTTTTTTTTTTTTTGGCAGAACCAGGGATTGAACTCAGGCCCTTGCGCTTGCCAGGGATGCACTTATTCCACTGAGCCATCTCCCCAGCCCCAAAAATGGCAGAAGGATTTTGGGGGGGGGGCAGGGGTTGGCTCAGAATACCTTCAGGGCATGTTTGGCTGGCTGCAGTTGTGGGGATTGAACCACAGCAACCTGAGGCTGACTGCTTTGTTGAAGCAGCCACTTAAACAACTGAGCTAAGGGGCAGGCCCCAGTGTTTACATTTAAATGATGAGAATATTTACCATTAGCTACAGTTGTCCAGCAGTGGGCTGAGCTGCCCAGAGAGGTCTGGGAGGATCTCAGACATAAGACAGTAGTAATCCCAATCTTTTATTATTATTATTATTATTATTATTATTATTATTATAGTGACTTTTTGAAAAAAAATTGTGTCTCTCTAAATATCTATCATTGAATACATGCATGACAAAAAGGTAGTTTGAAGCAACACTTTAAAAAATATTTATTTATTTGGTACAGGGTCCCTTTCCCCTAAACAGCTTGGACTCATAGTGATTCTCTTGTCTTAGCCTTCCCAGTGCTGGGATTATAGGCCCGCACCACCAGGCCCGGTTTTCATGGTTAGCATGGCAAGTGGTACCAGGGATTGAACCTGGGTACTTGCGCTTACCAGGCAGGTGCTTAAACTGCTGTGCTACATCCCCAGCCCGAAGTAACACTTTTACAGCAATACTGTAAAATTTTACTAAATTCCAACAAACTATTTTCATTTGCTACAAAAAAATATGTTTAGGGGCCAGGGATATAGCTCATTGGTAAAAGCACCTGCTTGGCAAGTTTGATTTCATATATATATTCAAAGACAATGTTTCAATGTTTGATGCATCTGTGGACTTAAAGGTCCTTTGCAGATGATTCCCAGATTAGGAGACACTGCTGTATAATAAATACATCCACAAATAGGCAAAGGCTCAGTTTGATGAACTTCTCAGTCCCAAAATCCAGTGCTCCAAAGGCAGGGATTATTAAACGACATTCCCCTCTTGATTCTGCCTTTATCTGAAACGAGGTTCAAGCCCAACAGTAGAGGTTCCAGCTCTTACAGGGTGGGGTGTTTTGCATTGTGAAGACCTCTCACACATGGGGTAACAGCCATTGCCATGTCTTGCCTTGGATGGGAATATGGCCTGGAAGATGGTTTTCAGTATGTAACAGTGAGAACTTAGGGCTGACAACCTCTGTCTCTGAGTTCAGGTCTGACGAGAAACCGTGTTTGAGATCACAGTTTCCTTGTGTCCGGAACATCCCATTCTAGCCCATGATGAGTGCACTTGAGGGGTTACTCCACAGACACATGGCTTCTGCATGTCATTCAATTTAAACTCAGAAACCATAAAAGGAAATACCTTTCTTTGTGGTCTTAGGAATTGCAGTTCAGGAGACACAAGTTCAGATAGTCTGAAACAGTTTGCTGATGAAGGCAGGGAAGATGGGAGCTTAGAAAAGCAGACTGATGATCCAAAAGTAAATTCTTTGGTATGGAAAACTTCTTTCAGAGTTGAGAACAGGGCTGTGCACCAGGAGCTGTGGGACAGAATACCAGAGAATGGGCATCCTGCATAACAATGTCCATAGAACAAGAGTCCAAGATCCTCTTGAAATGCATCTACAGCTGGGCACACTGTAGGATCTGTTCCAGCTGTCTTCACTCAAAGGGCGGTGGCAGTGGGAAAACCTCTCCCCATGTTACTTTCATTGTAATTTTCCCTTTTTTTTTTCCCACCAGCATCACTGCTCCATTTCTGCAGAATAAGGGCCCAAGCCCATTTCTCAACCCTTCAGGTCATTAGGATGTGATGTTCCTTGCAGAATGTAAAGCAGTGTTTCTACAGAACCCAACTGTTCCCAGTCCACCCAATCCTTGTGCGTGTCCAATGACACCCCCAGTTCCAGGAACATTCTCCTACCTCCTGAACACAGATTATGCAAGAGATGTAATCTCTAAACTGCTTCTGTGTGGGCACCCGCTTCACAGATGACCCCACTTCCTCTGATCTCCCAGACTCATGCAGAATAAGTACAAACCACCCTGAGCAAATCCCCTTCTACCTCTATTGAGATGCACCTCGGTCCTGAGGTCTCCCTGGTAACTGGCCTCATGTGCGTTCCTGGTGGTCCTTTTCCACTGAGTTTTATCAGAAGGACGGCAATATTTCTTCCCCCATGAGGCTAATTTGTAGACATATGATATAGTTGTACAACACGCATGGATGCATTTATCATTGACAGACCACTATACAAAGGTGGTATCATAAGATTATACTAATATTGCCCAGTAATGTATTAGCTATCTTCGTTTGACATTTCCAACAATAAAAACACCTACCGATACATTTTTCAGAACAAATTCCCATCAAGTGAGGCATGATTTACTAATTTCCATATGATCACTACCTGCAGGTAGGTAGCCTGCACAAATCACCGAACTCGGAACCTTGCACTTGCCAGGCAGGCGCTTATGCTGCTGAGTTATATCCCCAGCCCTGCCCAAAATTCTTGGCAAATATAGCTGGATCTAAGCGTTTGGGATACTTGGAGATAAACGGGAAACTTGGAAAAGATGGCAAAAACTAGGAGAAACACCAAATTCATGCCTAGGAAAAAAAACTGAAGCGGATGGGATTGGAAATGAACATAGGATTAATTTTCCCCAAAAATTAGTGCATGGAGCTTTTTGTTGTTGTTGTTCGTTTTTGTTTTTGTAGGTACTTGGGAATGAACACAGGGGTTTCACCTCAGCCCTCTGTATTTTTATTTCTTTGAGATTAAATCGCTAAATAGCCTAGACTTGTAGAATCTAAGACCCTCCTGCCTCAGCCTCTGAGAATGCTGGGATCACAGACGGTGTACCCACGCTAATGTATCGAACATTTCCAGAGTACCTACCACTTGAGTGGGACCCCTAGACCAAACCTACTCGCAAATCAAACCCGCCGAGCACTCGTTCTCTCCCGCCTAGGCTCCACGCTCCGCCCAAGGCCCCAGCTTCAAGTCCTGGCTCTGCCCACGGACCGCACAAACTCCCGGCCGCGCTGAGTGACCCGACCAATCAGAAGACGCAGAGCCTGCGGGTCCCGGGGAGCGCGCCGCGTGACGTCACGCGCGCGACGACGATGGAGCTGGGCGGATGTGTGGCTCTGCGAGTGGGGTCGCGCCTGTGGCGCGGGGCTGTGTGCCGGGGAGCGGCGTCCGCGGCGCGCGCGGGGTCCCGGCTTCACCTGCCGCCGGTGGGGCGGCCTGCCGCGGGACCAGCGCCCCTCCGGGCCTGCCTGACTGCTGCGCTGGTGCGCGGCCTGCGCGGCGGGCCTGAGCGGGAGGAGCGCGCGGACGGCGAGGGCGCCCCGGAGCCTGGCGCTGCAGGTGCGGGCGTGGGGGCAGCGGCGGGGATTAGCCAGCCGGGAGCTGGGGGTTTCCCCTGGGACTCACAGAACGGACTCCGCAGCTTGACCCCGCCAACCTTCCGCTTTCACAGTGGGGAAACTGAGGCCCTGCCCTGCGAAACGCGGTTATGTTCACGAGCCCGGCCATGCGTGGTCGTACTGTGCCCTCACCGGCCAGACCTCCCTCCCCGTTCTACCTGCGAGCCTGGGGAAGGGAGTGTTGGGCCGAGGGATGTGGCCAGGGGATGTGCAAGAAACGCTAAGATGCGGGTCCTACTCAGATTCTTCAGTTGCTGCAAACGTTTTTATTTTTTTTGCGGTCGGTACCGGGGATTGAACTCAGGACCCTGCGCTTGCCAGGCAAGCGTTTATTGTACTGAGCTATCTCCCTGGACCCTGCAAATGTTTTTAGAAAAATGATGAGCAAGTAACAGAAATTACAGAGCTTGAGAAGTAGAGGTTTTCGTAGGCTTTGCTACCAGGTGTTTAGAGTCAAATTCAGAATTTAGGAGCGCTATAAATTTGCAGACACTAATACTTAAAGCTGAAGAACAGAATATCTGAATCTCGATGAAGAAACATTACATTTTCATAGATACCAGTTGTTGATAACCAAAATTGCTTTATAAGTAAACCTGAGAGGCAAGATGGTGCATGCCTGCAGTCTCCACACTGAGGAAGCCAAGATCCCAAGTTTCAGACCAGTGTGGAAAATTCAGCAAGGTCCTGTCTGGGAAAAGAGAGAGCGTAAGCCTTCCAGCTCACAATTTTAGTTCTGTAATGCTTTATTAGCTGGGGTTCAGTTTAACATGACCAGGATATCCCCTCTTCCTGAAATGGTGCTACCGTTTCTTTGTGTAGCACTTTGTATTTTCAGTGTATTGCTCATTGCTACTGCCCAGACAGTCATTTGTCATCGCGATGTGGTTCTTCAGGTGTGTAGTAAGAGCAAAGGGCATGCAGTGGCTCTGTGCAACCCGAGCACTCCAACCATCAAAGCTGAGCAGTGCAATATGAAACTGCCTGGAGGTTCAACTGCTGGGAGGTCTGGGCTCTGCCAGTTTATAAAGCATTTTGGATCTAAACACCCTTGTGGAGAAGCAGTTACTTTGTTTCCTCTGGGACACATCTGCACCCTCTGGGCATGTACAGGTCTGTCTCCTACTTGAGCATCTGTCACAAACAAACGCTTGTACTTTTCAGATAATACCGGTCCCAAGTTTGATATTGATATGCTGGTTTCCCTTCTGAGGCAAGAAAATGCAAGAGACATTTGTGTGATCAAAGTTCCTCCAGAAATGAGATACACTGATTACTTTGTGATCGGCAGTGGAACGTCCACCCGACACTTACATGCCATGGCCTTCTACATTGTGAAAATGGTAGGATGCTTTCTCTCTTTTTCACCATTAATTGAGTGATGTCAGTGCTTCAGCCTGAAGAACCATGTGTGAGGAGGCCTGACTTTTTCAGAATTTGACTGAATGTGCTTTATGTTATTCTTTGATAGAAAAAGGTCTAGTAAAAGCCTTATTGAGACAAGATCGATTCTTTTTTGTTTTCTTGCTTAATGTATTTGGTACAGGGTCTCACTATGCAGCTCAGACTCGTAATGATCCTCCTGTTTTCAGCCTCACCAGAGCTGAGATTACAGGCGTAATCTCATGCCTGGTCTCCGTGACCATGGTTTAGCATGCCTAGGGGCGGGTGGGCATGGCATGTGTGCCTGGGATTGAAGCTGTCCTTGCAACTTGCCTAAGCAGGCACTTAATGCGCTGAGCTATCTTGCTAATTCTTGTCTCTTGTGACCATAAAGAAAAAATTAAAATCTGAGACAAGCTAGAAGACAGTGGAAGCCAAAGGGATTTCTAAAACAATACTGTCTAGTGTGGTAGCACTAGTACAGTACATTTTAGATGATCGTTGCCGTATTGAACAGACATAAAACACTTTCATGACTATAAAATATTATACTGGTCATTGTAGTCTAGTTTATTCTGACTGAACATGTGTAATGTTTCCAAACATCATGCGTAGTCATGGGCAAGGTAAAAGTGATAGATAACAGTTCTTCCCTTCTGAATTCGTGGGTCTAATGGAGGAGGAGAAAAGTAGTTCATTTTTTAGGTGGACTGAACATACATCAGAATGAAAGAAAAACTATATTCAGAAGCTTTCAGCTCTTTTTTATTATAATTCTTTTTTTTAAATTTTATTTATTTATATGTGTGTGTGTGTGTGTGTGTGTGTGGCCAGCTCAGCCCACCAGGGGGCGGGGCTGGCAGGCATGTGGTGCTGGGGGATTGAACCGTGGTCCCTGTGCTTTGCTAAGCTTGTTCTAAGTAGGTGCTTTAGGCCACTGAGCCATCTCACCAGCCCCCTTTCAGCTTTTTGATACAATTCTGCAGGGAAATAACCCTGCCAAAAACCTGGCCTAAGAGAAGGTTTGGGGTTGTTGCTGGACTTCTTGTTGTTGTTTTCCTTTAATTTTTATTTTCTAACCCATTATTTCTTTTTAACAATTTAAAAATTTTTAGCAAAAATGAATGGTTAATTGTGCAATATAAGAATCTGGTGTGGTTTAAACAATGATCTGGGTGGATAGAATTATAACTTTGATTTCCCTGTATAAACAACCTCGATTACACCAAACAAAACTTGCAGACCATTTAGCACTGGGGCTCTGTCTTTGGTTGATTTTACTCCATAGTTGTGCTGCCCATCTGCTAGGAGCAGCTTAATGGTCTTACTACCTACAGTGGATTTTCTTGAGCCCACATTACCTTTTAAAGTACTATCTTGAGCCTTAAGAACTTGCAAAGCCAGCCACACAGGCAGTGCTAGTGCCATGGCATGTCATGGTCATGACCCACCTACTTAGCACCAGGAATACAGGCCTGTGCAGCTGAACCTATCTTGCAGATGTCGATCTCTGGGTCAGCCTAGGATGAGAGTCTTGTTGTTTTTGAAACATTTAGCCCAGGCTGACCTCAAACTTGTGAACCTCCTGCCTCAGCCTCCCAAGTGCTGGGATTACAGGTGAGCTTGCCACCATGCCCTGCTAAAAGCTTTTTAAAAATAAAAACTGGGTGTGGTGTTACACACCTGTAATCCCAGCCCTCTGGGAGTCTGAAAGCAGGAGGAGCCCTAAGAGTTTGAAGTGAGTTTGGATTACATAGCGAGTTCAAGATCAGCCTGAACTATAGACCCTGTCTTAAAACACAAAAGAATAGCTGAGACTGCCTGGAGAAGCTGTAAAATAAGAAGGGGTGTCTAAAAGAGCCTTGAAAGGGCAGGCTAGATAGCTCAGTGCACTAAAGTGCCTGCTTGGGCAGAGCACAGCTGCCAGGGTTCCCAGCATGCTGGTGCCCCCCCCCCCCCCCCGTGCACTGAGACCCTGTACTAGAATACAACATAAATAAAACAGCCGTGGTATAATGTAACAGCAGAGGAAGAGTCCAAAACAGTATTTGGAGAGAGGAAGAGAACCAAGAGAGCACGGAGAAAAGTTAAAATCAGATGTGATAGCAGGAGGGAGGTGACAGTAGTGGTAACTGCTCGATTTCAGGATCTAAAAAGGAAGTATTCTGAGTTTCTGGAAGGGGCTAAATGAAGGGCTAAAAATTACTTTCACAGGAGTTTATGTAAGAAAGAGATAGGCAAGGTCAATAAGTTCTGTTACTGTTTGTAGTAAAAAGATGCATAATGTAGGTCCTGCCATTTTACTCATTTTTAAGTGTATAATTTATTGGTTTTAAATACATTTATTGTTACCACCACCCATCTCTGGAACTTTCACCTTGTAACTCTATACCCTTAAAACAGGAACTTCTTATTCTCCTTCCCCTGCAGCTATCATTCTGCATTATTTGAAAAGTCTATGGTATTTGTTCTTTTGTGACCAGCTAGTTCACTTAGCATCTTGTCTTCAAGATCCATGGATGTTATAGCATGTGGCAGAGTTTCTTTCTTAAGACTAAAAATCTGCTACATATCACAGGTTTGTATCATATATACCACTGTTTATCCATCTGTTCACTGATGGACATTTAAGGGTTTTTGAAACTTTTAGCTGCTGTGTATAGTACTGCTATAAATATTGGTGTGGACATATCTGCTCGTATCCCAACTTCTAATTCTTTTGGGTGTACATAAAAAGTGGAATTGATGGGGCTGGAGAGATGGCTCAGTGGTCTAAAGCACCTACTTAGAACAAGCTTAGCAAAGCATCAGGGACCGCGGTTCGATCCCCCAGCACCGCATGCCAGCCAGCCCCGCCCCCTGGTGGACTGAGCTGGCCACACACACACACACCACTCTCTCTCTCTCTCTCTCTCTCTCTCTCTCTCTCTCTCTCTCTCTCTCTCTAATAAATAAATAAAAAAAAAAAAAAAAAAGTGGAATTGATGGATCATATGCTGGTTCTATCTTTAATTTTTTTTTTTTTTTTTTGTGGAACTGGGAATTGAACTCAGGCCCTTGCGCTTGCCAGGCAAGCGTGTATTCTACTGAGCCATCTTCTCAGCCCTCTGTCTGTAATTTTTTGAGCTATTATGCCTCTCATAGTGGCTATAGAAATTAAAATCCCATTAGTAGTGGGGGAATGGGGGGGCATACTGGGGATTGAACCCAGGGAGTACTTGGCTACATCTTTAGCACCCTCCACCCCTTTTAAAATTTTGAGACAGTGTCTTAATAAATTGTTTAGGTTGGGCCAGAATCTGCCATCTTCCTGCTTCAGCCTCCCAAGTGGTGGGATTGTAGGTGTACACCACCATGCCTGTTCCAGTTTATTATTTTTGTAATAGCTGTCCTTTCGTTGTTGTTTTATTTGCAGCCCCATGTTTAGTGATATTGAGCGTATTTTTTGTTTATTGGCCATTTGTATATGTTCTTTGGAGAAACTATAGTCATTGGTTCAGTTTTAACCTGGTACATTTTATTACTGAGTTGTAGGAGCTGATTTTTTAAAAATAGTAATCTTTTATCTTACTCTGTTGGTAGTATCCTTCCATGCACAGAAGTATTTAATTGGGATGATTCCAGCTTTGTCTTTTGTTGCCTATGCCTTTGATAACATATCCAAGAAAATCATTGCCAAAATCATGTCATGAAACTTTTCCTTGTTCTAAGAGTTATGGCTTTCGGTCCCATGATTAGGTATTTAATCCATTTTAAATTAATTTTCTTACATGGATATCTAGATTCCTTAGCACCCTTTGTTGAAAAGACTGATTTTTTTCCTGTTGAGTGGTCTTGGCAGCCCTGTTGAAAATCATTTAACCATAATCTGTGCAAGTTTATTTCCACACTTCCTATTCCATTGGTTTGTGTCCTTTATGACAGAACTATACTGCTTTGATGACTATAGCTTCAAACTAGATTTTTGGGTTGTGCTAAGTTCCGTTGCTGTTGCATTGCTGGTGAGTACTGAACTGAGAAACTAGCACATGTCAGGTACTCTACACGGAGTTACACCCCCCAGTCCTGGTATAAGGTTTAGAATCAGGAAATGTTAACATTGCCAACTTTTTCAGAATTATTTTAGCTATTCAGGATTCTTGAGATTCTGTGTAAATTTTATGGTGGATATTTTATTTCTTTTTTTTTTTTAATTTTATTTGTGTGTGTGTGTGTGTGTGTGTGTGTGGCCAGCTCAGCCCACTAGGGGGCGGGGCGGGCTGGCATGTGGTGCTGGGGGATTGAACCGTGGTCTCTGTGCTTTGCTAAGCTTGTTCTAAGTAGGTGCTTTAGACCACTGAGCCATCTCACCAGCCCCGGATATTTTATTTCTTAAAAAAGCATATTTTGGATTTAGATAGGGATACAGTTGATCTATGGGTGACTTTGGATGGTATTGACATCTTAACAAAATATTAAGTCTTTTGACCCATGATTACGGGATATTTTCCCATTTATTTATGTTTCTTTTAGCTATGTTTTGTAGTTCTCATCATACAAGTTCTTTACCTCCTGTACTATTTAAGTATTTTATTCCTTTGGATACTGTTGTAAATGGAATTATTTTAACTCAATTTTCAGATTGCTGATTAGTACAAAGCAGTTCAACTGAAGTTTGTGTGTTTTTGTATCCTACACCTTTGCCGAATTTATTAATCTTAACCATCCCTTTTGTGGCATCTTCAAGGTTTTGTACATACGAGGTCATCTTGTCTGCAAGATCACTTCTTTTTCTAGTGCAATTGCTCCAGCTACATCTTTTCAATGTTGTGTTGACCAGAAGTAGCAAAAGTGGAGCCAGCCAGATAGCTCAGCTGACTAAAGCGCCTGCTTAGGCAGAGCTCAGCATGCTGTGCTGGTCCTGCCCCCGGGCCACGCTGAGACTGCAACTGAGACTGGGCCTGGTGGCACGTGCTATAATCCCAGCACTTGGGAGGCTGAAAACAGGAGAATCACTGTGAGTTAAATCTACATGGTGAGACCCTGTAGATCCTGTACTCAATGCATTTTTAAAAAGTAGCAAAAGTAGGCATCTTGTCTTGGTCCTGATCTCAGGAAAAGCTTCAGTTTTTTACATTAAGTGTGCTGGAGTATGCTAGCTGCTTTTTTAAAAAATTTTATTTATATATTTGTGTGTGTGTGTGTGTGTGTGTGTGGCCAGCTCAGCCCACCAGGGGGCGGGGCTGGCTGGCTGGCATGTGGGGCTGGGGGATTGAACTGTGGTCCCTGTGCTTTGCTAAGCTTGTTCTAAGTAGGTGCTTTAGACCACTGAGCCATCTCACCAGCCCTGTCTGCCTTTTTTTATTTAAATTTTTTTTTTTATTTTAGAAAGGGTCTACAGGGTGCTCAGGGTCTTACTACTAGATTGGACTCATGGCGATCTGCCTGTTTACAGCCTCCCAAGAGCTGAGATTACAGGCACGTACCACTGCGCCCCAGGGTGGGGTCAGCACAAGCAGGCTCAAATCCCTTAATCTGCTGAGCTATTTGGCCGGCCCTCTGTCTGCCTTTCATACATGGCCTTAATTGCATTGAGGCAGTTTTCTTTTTCCCTTGTTTGTTGAGTGATTTTATCTTGAAAGGGTGTCAAATTTAGTCAAATGCATCAATGATTATGGATTGTTTATTCTGTTAAATATATTACATTGATTTTCTTATGTTGAAATGTGTGCATTCCAAGAATCTCACTTGGCCAGGGAGATAGCTCAATAGAAGAAAGGCCTGCCTGGCAAGTGCAAGGTCCTGAGTTCAATCCCTGGTACTGCAAAACAAACCAAGAATATCACTTGGTCCTGGTGCATATTTGTTTTTTCCAGTACTAGTGATTGAATGTAAGACCTGAGTTATTTTGGACAAGCACTGCACCACTCAGCCATGTACACCAGCCCTTTTATATTTTATTTGGAAACATCCCAGGTTGCCCTCAAGTCTATGATTTTCTTGCCGTAGCTTCCCAAGTAGGTATAGATGTGAGCCACAAATGCCTGGCTGTTTTAATATGTTGCTAAGTTTGGTTTGCTAATAATTTTATTGTTGTAGATTGACAACTGGTGGTCAACTTGTGACACCCAGATGAACTGAACCAGCATGGTGCTGGGTGTGGGAGGCCCACCTGAGGATGGTTGCCAACAAAATAAAAAGAACTGGAGAGGAAGAGGTGGTGCTGTTTGTTCTCCTGGAGTAGCTTGTCATGCAAACTCCCATTGTTGTCAAAGGAGCTAGGAGCTTGGAATCTTGTCACAGAGAATAGCTGCAGTTCACTTTGGGGGAGCTATGTTTCTTAGAATATCACTTCTTGGTTCTGAAGGAGGTAGTGGTGCGCTGTTCAGTCTCCTGGAGAAGCTTGTCACACTGGCTTTCCTGATAGGAGCTCGACTGTTATCATTGGAGGAGCTTGAGACCTCATTTTCACCAAGGATGTCTATGGTACTTTTAGGGGCAGCTCTATTGCATACTTTTGAGTGTCGCTTTCTGGCTCCAGAGCAGATCCCTCAGCCTACTGGCACATACTTTCTAGCTTCCACCACTGACCTTTAGGCCTTCCCAGTGCAGATCTTTGGTACAGACTTGCATGAGGCATTGTCATGGGCTCTAGGTCTTCAGCTGGACTCATTGCCATAAGATCCAGGCCCTCAGCTGGATTCTTTTGATTTCTAGTGTATGGACAGATCTCCTGTACTCTTGTATTTGAATTTGACTCTTGGGATGATTACTATCCTATAAATTATGTGTGAGTCCTTTTCCCTTGCAAACCCTGAGGACAACAGTAGATTATTAAAAAAAAAGTTGATTATATTTTCACCAGGGATCAATTCAAGGTGGGGGAAGCAGTACTTCAGGCATGAACACAGGGCCCTCACACTGAGCTACATCTGTGACCCTTCTAAAAATTTTTATTTATTTTTTTTTTTTTGTGGAGCCGGGGATTGAACTCAGGCCCTTGAGCTTGCCAGGCAAGTGATTATTCAACTGAGCTATCTCCCCGGCCCCTAAAATTTTTAAATTTAGAGATAAGGTCTTACTAAATTGTCCAGGCTGGGCTTGAACTTGTGACCTTTCTGCCTCAGCTCCACCAGAGTACCAGGATTATAGGGGTGTGCTACAGCTGACTAATTCTTACACTGCATATTAGCTTCCCTAGCAGAAATTGATCTCACAGACTTAGGAAATGGTCTTTTAATTTTTCAGAGTTTGAGAAAGTATTTTTCTTAGTTCACCAGTAAAACTGTCTGATCCAATTTGTGTTGGGAAATTCTAATATCTATTTCATTTATGTACTAGTTATAAGTCTCTGCAGTGGTTTGTTTTTTGAGGGCTTTGCTATGCAATTCAGGCTGACCTTTAAGTCAGTGATCCCCTGCCTCAGCCTCCTAATTGCTGAGGTTTCAGGTGGCACCACCATGCCCAGCCATAGTACTCTTAAATTCCTTTTATTTTTCTTAAACTGGTAGTAATAGTGCCTATTTAAGATTTTGCTTTAAAAAAAGAAAAACAAAAAAAAAAACCTCAGTCTAGCTAAAGATTTAATAATTTCATTGATTTTTTTTTTTTAAAGAACCAAATCTTGGTTCCTTGTATTTTTCTGTCCTACTACGTTTCCTTTTCGGGGCCTGCCCATTAACTCAGTTGTTTAAGTGCCTGCTTAAGCAAAGGCACTCAGGCTCAGGATACTCTGGTTCGATCCCCAGATCTGCATGCCTTCCCAGGTCTGCCCTTCTAAGGCATCCTCAGCCAGCCCCCCCCCCCCCAAAAAAAAATCATGTTTCCTTTCCTTTGCTAGCTTTTGATGTTTTGCCCCTAGTCCTTTAGAGTATAATTTTGTCTCGTATTTCCTGCTTAGGTGTTTTTTTTTTTGACCTAAGTGTATATTGTTAACTTTTCACGTTTTTCCAGTTTTTCTGTCAGTTTCATTTTATTCCATTGTGATCAGATGATTAGCCTTGAGAACACTGCTTGTATCCTTGATTTTAAAAAGCTATATTCTGCTTCGGGTAAAGAGCTCTGTTAATGTCTTTTGGGATCAGTTAGTCAATATAGTGTTACTCAAGTGATCCATTTCCCTGAATATGGTGGTGCCCACCAATAATCCCAGCACTTTGGAGGTTGAGGCAGGATGATCACTGTGAGTTTGAGACCAGCACCAGCCTGAGCTGTATAGTGAGACCCTGTCTCAAAGGACCCCTCCACACACACACACAAAAGCCTGGGCAGAAAGAGTCACCTTTCCTCTTTTTGATTGTTCTGTTCATTATGGAACGTGGGGTGCTGAAGTCTTAACTGTGCTACTGCTATTTTCCCCTTCAGTTGTCAGTGTGCTTCATATATATAGAAAGTGATCTTTGGTGTTATGTGTAACTGTCAATTCCTTGGTAAGTTGGAACTTTTGTCATCGTCTGTTATCTCTTCTGCTTTTAGCTTAAATTATTTTTTTGGTACCAGGAATCGAACTCAGGATCTTGCACTTGCCAGGCAGGTGCTGTGCCACTAAGCTGTCTGCATCTACAGCTTAAATTCTGTCTTGTTTGCTGTTAGTCTATTTGTTGGTGTTGAGGAAAGCTAAGAACCAAGATAACTTCTAGCTCTTCCTTACTGAGAAGACCCAACTTTAGAACAGGACAGTGGCATGTGCCTTTCCTGAGAGTCCAGGGAAGGTGGCTAGGCACACGGAGGATGGTGTAGGTGCGGACCCAATGCTTGCATGTGCTTAGGCCTCTGGGCCACAAGAGATGCCTTGGTGAATGAGCTGCATGGCCTCAGCAGACTTGGCAAGAAGGTTCAGGAGAGAGGCGTCAGAGACGACAGGATTGAGGGGTAAAATTTCCTCAATTATTAACCATGTGGCAGAGTACAGCTATAAGATATGAGTGAGCTGTTTCCAGATTCAGGCCAAGAAAAGTGCCACTAGATCTTCAGTGAAGGCTGACTTCCTCCTGTCTTTAACTGTGGTCTGGCTTTTTTTCAGTACAAATACCTAAAATGTAAAAGTGCCCCTCAGGTTAAGATCGAAGGCAAGAATACCGACGACTGGCTCTGTGTGGACTTTGGTAAGTTACTGTGGTGCGTACATAGGAAGATACTGATGTTAAGCCATCATGCTGATCATCTTCAGCTAGGAAGCAGGTTAAATAAAATCACTCTGTATTTCTATGTAAAATCGTTAGGTAAAACTTAGGGAGTTTTAATCCTGTGTGAAGTCTCCAGCTCACCTAAGTATTCTAGATACAGTAATACATTTTTTGGTGGAAGACAAGTCTTAAGCTACTTCCTTCTCACTCATATCTGGTACAAAATATCTAACACCTCCAACTTCAAGAGAAGCTTTGGCCCATAGTTCATTGGCTCCAGAGCAGTATGGTAAAGAGGCAGGGTGGAGGAGTAGCTGTTCACAGAGATGGCAAGCATAGAGCCCCAGGGAAGATAAGCCCTGCCAGCTGGCCGGCAAGGATCTGCCCCTCTTCACAGCATGGCAGCTCTTAGGCCCGGTAATCCAGCCACCTCCCTGAAGCGCCACCTATGAGTGTGGTTGGGCAGCTTTGTGAGACTATCTAAAAAGAGCTGGGAATGTTGCCCAGTTCACTTCCCAGCACTGACAGAAGAGGGGTAAAAAAGGAAAACTGGTCACTGTTAGGAACCAAGGAGGTCTAAGGTTTTATCTTACTTGCATGCTAATAAGTTGTCCTTCCACTTTCGTGGATACTGATTGAGGACACAAAAATACTTGGGAGTTACAGACAAAAATAATTTGTTACTTGCAGCTGTTGTCAGCATCATCAGTTTTGTAGTTTTTGTTTTAACACTGGTTCCTTGAGCCCCAGATTACCTGGGGGGAACATGGGGCTAGGGCAAGAACAATCTCATTTTATGAGAGATGTCAACGGTTTTGCAGCCTTCTCACTATGAAAATTTTTGTTCTGGAAACAAGTATTTTTCTCTTTACTACTACTAGCCTTGAAAAACCCCAGAACCACAGTACTTTCTTTGCTCATAAGATTTGCAGAAATGTGATGTGCATGGAACACTTTCTTCCAAGAGAAACCTGCCAACACCATTGGTCAGTGGATAAAGTCAACCTTGTCAGTAATGACACATGTTGATGCCATGCACCTCTGGTACAATGGATGCCCTAGGAAAGGCCTGGCATCACTGCTATCGTAATTTTTACTGGGGTAGAGTCCACAGTTTGCCCTCTGATGACAACTCATCCAGCTCCTAGACAGTTATAAGAACATAAGAATAAAAGCAAATATGTTATTTCTTCATTGTAACTTTTTATCCTTGATAGGCAATATGGTGATTCATTTAATGCTTCCAGAAACCAGAGAAACTTATGAATTAGAGAAATTATGGACCCTACGTTCTTATGATGACCAGTTATCTCAGATACCACCTGAGGCACTACCTGAAGACTTCATTCTTGGACTAGAAGAAGAGGACATGTCCATGGTGACTCCAGTGGAGTTCAAATGTGAATAAAACTGGACGAACTGTTTCAGTCATTTCAGAGTGGAATTCCTTCACTTCTTGGGAAATACAGTTCCCTAAAGCCTGACCTCCTGGGTTAGGTTGCCAGTATAAGTCTTGTCTACCTCATGGGCAGTCACAACAACTGACTCAGAGATAGTTAATGAGCTAATATTTGCATCAAGAAGTACATTCCAACCAAAACTTTTAACATGCCATCTGTTTATCCTGAGATCTCAGTAGGCTTTCTAGGAGCTAATATTGGTACCGGTGCTTACCTTGAGCTCTGTGCTCAGATGTTTTTGTGCTTATATGCAAGTACTCACTTTAAGTAGAATGGCCCAAAATCTTAACAAAGGATGTCACTGCCCACTGATCCTATTACTTGGAGGTGATAAAGGGTAATAGATGGACAGGATTCTTTTCCAGCATAGGACTTCTGTTCCCTTTGAGAATATTCCAGATGACAGAAAAAAAGCCAAGTATTAAAGAAATTTTTGGAACCTGTACTTCTGGTTCATATGAACAGTATAAGCAAGGTCCACATTAATGTATCACAGGGTAGAGAAAATAATTTTACAGTAAGTAGATGTACACATTTTGAGGCTGACAGTATTAAAAGTCAGTATGTAGACCAAATTTTAACATACACATTCACTTGAAAACATACTACACAACAAACTAATGATGAAAAATTTTATTCTGCATCAGGGTATCTGGAAAATGAAGCCGCACTTGGGGCACTTTATAGATGAGGAATGATCCATATATGGTGAGTACAAGACCCAATTACAGAATTATCT